TTCCTGCAGTCAGAGGCGGCCGCCCAGCCGCCGTCCGTGCGGGCGATGGCCTGCACCACAGCGATGTAGGTGGACACCTCCTCGGTGTGGTGGTGCCGGCTCTTCAGGCCTGTGGTCACCGCCTGGGACGGGAGGAGAGAGGGAGGCCTCAGCGGGGCCCAGGATGCCCTCCGGGCCACCCCTGTGGGGTCACGGGCCTCACAGACCCGGGTGCTGGCCTTTCTGGCCACCTGGCCAGGAGGAGCAAGCTGGGGGCCGCGGGGCCTCCTGGGTCACCTTGGAGCACGTGGCCTGGCCCTCATTGCACCGGGGCCCACCGTGGCCCAGGCAGCCCTGGGCAGACTGGCTCAGTGGCTAGAGCATCGGTCTGCGGACCCAAAGGTCCCGGGTTCGATTCTAGTCAAGGGCACGTACCTCGGTTGCAGGCTCCTCCCCAGCCCGGGCCCTCGTTGGGACGCGTGTGGGAGGCAACCAATCGATGTGTTTCTCTCCGTCTTTCCCTCTCTCTTCCACTCTCTCTAAAAATCAATGGAAAAATATCCTCTGGTGAAGATTTAAAAAAATAATAAAAATAAAATGAAGGCATCTTTTAAAAAAAAAAGGTGGCCCTAGCTGCTTTTGCTCAGTGGATAGAGCGTCGGCCTGCGGACGGAAGGGTCCTGGGTTTGATTCCGGTCAAGGACACATGCCCGGGTTGCTGGCTCGATCCCCAGTGTGGGGCACGCACGAGGCAGCCGATCCATGATTCTCTCTCATCATGGATGTTTCTCTCTCTCTCTCCCTCTCCCTTCCTCTCTGAAATCAATAAAAGAAAAAAGCAGTGTAAAATATAAAACTTATTTTAAAAAGAAAAGATGGCCCAGGTGGTGGGTGTGAAGGCCCCTGCCCCCAGCAGAGGACACCAGCCAGCATCCCTCCACGGTGACCCAGGGGACCCAGACCTCCTCCGGGGTCCCATGCCCCGCCCCCGGCCCCCGGCTGTGCCCGCCCACCTGGTCCATGCCCGGCTCCAGGGAGGTGGTGTTGGGCAGGAGCTGGTTGTGTAGCCGGGGCTCCTCCACCGCCTTCTTCACATCGTAGCCGAACCACAGGTTGTTCATAATGGCCTGGGGGGCCGGGGGGACACAGG